TTTTTTTTTGAGATGGAGTTTCTCTGTGTCACCCAGGCTGGAGTACAGTGGCGCAATCTTGGCTCACTGCAACCTCCGCCTCCCTCCCAGGTTCAAGCGATTCTCCCACCTTAGCCTCCCTTCCAAGTAGCTGGGACTACAGGCACGTGCCACCACACCCGGCTAATTTTTGTAGGTCTTAGTAGAGATGGAGTTTCACCATGTTGGTCAGGTTGGTCTCAAACTCCTGACCTCAAGTGATCCACCTGCCCTGGCCTCCCAAAGTGCTGGATTATAGGCGTGAGCCACCGTGCCCGGCCAGCATGCTTGCGTTCTTAACCACAGTTCTGCTCACTGGGGAATTTGTCTTGGCATTTGATATAATGAAGTTCTCAACAGTGAACATTATTTGCTCTTAATATTTTCTGTTACCTGTCTACATTTTTTTAATTGACTGTGGTTTCAGTTTGGTAAACAACTTAAAATATCAATGTTGTCAAGGAGGAGGTGGGAGTGGCCAATAAACATGAAAATATTGAATTTCAAAAACAAACAGATTAAAATAATGAGCTAGCAGTTTTCACTTAAGTATTTAGCAAAAGTTGGAAAAAGAAAAAAATGTCTGTGGCAGGCTCAAACTGAAGACGTCAACATTCCCACGCACTGCTCTCAGCCAGTAGAGCCCCACTGCCTTCCTAAGGCCGGATGATCAGAATTCCCAGCATGTACCATCTGAACCATTACCTGCAATCCTAGGGTTTTATTCTAAGGAAATAATCAACCACAAAAGTTTGCATGCCAAATGATGTTACTTGAAGCAATGTTTATGATATCAAAGAGCTGGAAAAAAAACTAAATGTCCATCAATAAGAGATTGTCTAAATGTGTCAGAGTAAATGAATATAATGAAATATAATGCAGTCATTAAAAATGAAACGATACGTTTGTTCTAAGTGATGTGGAGAGATGCCCAAAATATAACATTAAATGAAAAGCATAAAGCAATATATATAGTAAAATCCTATTTCGGCTAAAATGTATATATAGGAGAAAAGAAGACTGGAAGGATATACACCAAAACATTAGCAATGGGCTGGATGCAGTGGCTCACGCCTGTAATCTCAGCACTTCGGGAGGCCGAGGTGGGTAGATCAGCTGAGGTCGGGTGTTCTAGACCAGCATGGGCAACATGGTGAAACCCCCTCTCTACTAAAAATACGAACATTAGCTGAGCGTGGTGGCACACGCCTGTAATCCCAGCTACTCGGGAGGTAAGGAAGGAGAACCACTTGAACCTGGGAGGCAGAGGTTGCAGTGAGTTAATGGCGACTGCGCCATTGCACTCCAGCCTATGCACTAGAGCAAGACTGTCTC